GAGGAAGAGCCTGAGATCATCCTGAGGGACTCTTTCCTCAAAATTAACGAGAAGAAAGCAGCCGAGCTGACGCTACCAGAGGGAGTATTTGATCCCTGGTTCTCAATGTTTTAGACGGTTGCCGAACCAAAGCTCACCATTAATCACCGGGTCCCCACTGAAGCGGTGAAGGCGGCTAAAGTCCCGTTAATGTCGTGGGACCCGAAAACTCATGCCGGGATTGCATCTCTGCCTGATGACCAGAAATTCAGCTATGCCCGAGGCTGTTTGGGACGGGCACTGGTCAGCTTTATTGCTGCCGAAGAAAGTTACCGGGGCAGAGCGCACGAGCTGGACGAAAAACAGCATGAGCTGAGCTTGAAGGAAGGCGCTATAGCATCTCTGGAAGATGAGAAGTCTCGCTATGAGGCGACCTTGTCGGAGAAAGATGTTCAATTGCAAGCGGCGCAAGCCGAGGTGAGTGCCCTTAAAACCGAGAAGGAAAATTTACTGTTGGCTCATGATCTCACCTCGGTTCAGCTGGCCAAAGTCGAAGAGGTGGCCAAAGAAAAGGATGAGCAGCTGATGAGGCTGAGGGCTGAGCTTCAAGCTTTCCGTAAGGACCGTTCTGCAAAGGATGCTGAGCTAATTAGATGTCGGGAGGCTCATGAGAATGCTATGAGTAAACTCCGCCAAGAAATGATGGCTGCCGCAAAGCTTAAATTCCAAGAAGGCGTTAATGTCGGTAAGAAATCAGTGGCTGAATCCGACAATGTTTTGAATACCGACACTGTCACAGAATGGGATTTAGAGTTGAATGCCGCACTGACATTACGCTGGGTAATCGACCGAGTAGAGAGCGGCGTCTACACTATGGACGAGCTGCGTATCTTCCTTCTTCACAAGGTGGAGAAACACGGTTTCAATCCTGAGATGAAGAATGCTCACATTCCGGCCGACCAAGATGAAAGAGACTTTGCTGACCGACTTCTGAAGCAAAAAGAAAGTCGGATGTTGGAACTGGATATGATTCCCTTGTCGGAAGAGCGAAAGGCAAAGATCCGCCGGTCATTTATCGATATGGTCCTCGAAGTAGAGAAGGCCAAGAAGCCTGAAATGGCTAACATATGTGTGGAGACGATCGCTGAGGCCTTTGTCAATGAAACTTTCGAGGGCCTGTCTGACGAGGAGCTTTTAGGCGCAATCATCGGTTACGCTGAACGCAAGGTGGCGGAGGATGAGGCCAAAGTTAAAGGTTGGGTGGTTGACCCAGTTCCCTCTGACGATGATCGTGTTTTGCATGAAGATGACGACGTCGTCATAATTAAAGAAAGCGATGTCGTCCGAGCATTGGAAGAGAAGGAAGAGGACGTCATTCAGCGCTTAAGCCAGAGGTTGATCGAGCATATGGACGGTATTGACAAGGACAAGGCTGAGACTGAGAATCCTCAACTTTCCAATGTAGGAGGGGCGTCATCGCAAGGACCAAAGAAAATTGATGTTTTTAATTTGTTTTGTCGTTGTTTGTCTTTTTCTGGGGATGTATTGACAATATTTTGATTTTGGAATGAAATATTAATGTTTGATGAATGAAATATTTTTATGAATGCTTTATCGTGACTTATTATTATAACAAGTCAGAGTATGTCGGAAAAAATGAATAAGTGTTCGTCAGATTAAAGTTTCCGACATAACGTTGATGATAATTTATACGAATTACTGACATCGGTGTAACTTTACAGTATTTCCGACATCAATAACCTTATCAGAACAAGTTACAACAAACTTGCTTTGATTGAAAACATTTATTGTGTAAGTTACAACAAACTTGCTTTTATTGAAAACATTTATTGTGTAAGTCTTTGAATGTCTCAAAGAACTTAAGAATTTTATTGTTAGTTGATCAAATCAACGTCAGGATTTGATATCAAATTTTTTGATTAAATTTTTGGGTGTCAGCATAATTTATAGCTTGTCCGACATCCGCAAACTCTTTATTCGAACAAGTCATAAAAGACATGCTTTTTACTGAAAATACTTATTGCGAGCTCATCAAATCAACATTGGGATTTGATATTAGAGAGCTTAAGCCTCCCCAAACCATCTTCAGGGCTTGGAAGTATCCGGCTTTGCTGCGTTTGGCTAGGTCATACCATCTTCAGGGTATGAAACACGTTTAGCCTTAGCAATGGGGACCGATATATTGTGGTCCGAGTGATCGAACAAATTACAGGGGTTCGTCACACAAACTTTATTGATAGCAAAACATGGTTCTTGTAC